GTGAAGAAAAAAACATCCGTATGAAAAGAATGAAAAAAAGCCATGCACTGTGTCCACTAACTAATGCCTAGCCCCTAGGACAAAGCGTCCTAAGAGGATAGCATATACCTTCAGAGGAAGGTAGGCCTAATGTGATTTCAGATTCTCCTAAGAGTTCAGATCCCCAAAATTTCCTACCTTTTTGTGCTTTTTGAAAGTCCCGTAATCAGGAGTCACTTGAAAGAAAAACAGTGACTTAGAAAGAAAATGCAGACTTAAAATGTAAATGCTAAGACAGTTCTACACTTTAATAAAAGCATGCTATCATGACAACAGCAGTGTTTTAGATAGTTTACAGAACATTTTCACATACAACTCATATAATTGTCACAACCGTCTTAAGGCAAATAACGACAACAAAACTGCTATTAATATTGAGTGCTTAGCCTGGCACTTCATTAAGAACCTTACATACATTTATTATTTCAACAATCTACTGAGGTTTGAGTTGTAGATCATTTACTGATGCCAGACACAAGACAGGATTCGAATCCAATTCTAAAACTCATGATCTCTAAATCTCTACATTATGGCAAGATTTGGAGACAAAGTTCACTCTCATAATTTAACAGCTACATGACCTTCAGAAAGTAATTTATCTCAGTTCTTCTTCATCTATAAAATGGGAAGATTAATACTTGCCCCCTCTATTCCAAAGTAGTTGTAAAGATCAAAAGAGATAAAGACATAAGTCTTCATAAACTCTAAAACTTTTTGTATAAATTATCATCATTCCCAATTTTGATAAAGAGAATGAACAGGAAAACAACAACTCAGAATGGGGGTTGGAGGTGGGGCAGATGTTGGTATTACTATTGTTTAGCTTAGTTTTCTTTTAAGGATAAACTTCAGACTTTATAATTTACCTGGGAACTTACTGTCAATTGGGCTGTGATAACAGAATCTGTATCACACCTTATTTTGTCACTTTGCTAAAAGTCAGACACAGTTATTTAACTGTAGGTTATGCAGATTTGGAGGTGAATAAAAATCTAACAGCTGATTTCTTTTTAAAAATTTAGTTTTTTCATAAGAATCAGTAACTACTATACTAGGTCACCATAACAAAAATTCCCTTGCAACAACAGTCCTGTGCTTTTCTACAGTATCATTTCAACCAGGGGTGCCTACATCATTCATTCTGCTAAGATCAAAACATAAACTACACATCCAAAAGGAAAAAATAAATCAGATCACTTAAAATAATGAGTTTAAGGGAAAATTTTTATTCAAACCTTCAAAATTTAAGTTAATCTTTAACAGTATTGTCAGCAAATCAGTGAGGGAAGGAAGTTCAAGTGAAATCACTCAACTGTTGCAAGGTATGTCAGATATTAAAAAGACAAGTTTTCAACACTAAATTACTAGTTACAAAATATCAGCTCACCAAGAAGGTTCAACAGCAGAGTTTAGAAAAGTCACACAGCATTCACCCCTTTCATACCAAATATCAGTACAATCCTATTATTTTTATACCTTCTAAATTATATTCATAAAAATCACTTTTGGCAAGGTAATTAATTATAACTTACCCAAACATTAACAATAAAAAAATTTACCATTCTCATTTTCAATGAGAAAATACCATTTTTTCTTTCTACAGAAGAAAAATCATGGACTGTGATGAACCATTTCCATATATATGTACATTTTTACTGATTATATATAATATTTGATATACATTTAAACCTACATGTCAACTCAACAGCTTGTCCCAATTTTCATATATGAAATTATTTGCTAATATTTCAATTCTGAACTCAAGATAGCAATTTGTACACTAGTTCTAGGGATCCAGGTTTTTACATAAACATCAAATGACAGGTCCACTGAGGTGCTTCTGAATCGGATACACTTATTCATTCAATTCAGAACCTATCATACTTCTGAGCAGTGGTTCTCAACTAGGGGCATTTAGCAATGGCTGCTAACATCCTACCTCTCATTCAACTTGGCGGGAGGGTTGCCAGTTGGGATATTGTGAGAGGGGTGATACTGACATCTAGTTAGTGAGTAGAGGCCAGGGACGCTGCTACCATTTCACAAAGCACAGGCCAGCCACCACAGCAAAGAATCACCTACCCCAAAATGTCAGTACTGCCAAAGTTGAGGAACTCTGATATATGGAAAAGTTTATAAACACCCAGCTGTCTAAAAACAGTACTCACTTCACCTTTGTTTCCTATTTGCTAATTCCATTATTTTCATATTAGGCTTTGGCAACAAACTTACCCTAATCCCATCCTTTCAACCAGCTTCTAACTTCTGAACATGTCAATAGAATAATCGCCATCTCAGCCAGTCCCAAAACTTCATTAGTCTTTGACTCATCCCTATTTTTAATAATAACAGTAGTAGTAGTAATAGTAATGACAGCCGCTAACATTTAGCTCTTGCTATGTGCCAGGCACTACTCTAAATGCCTTGCATATAATAACTCATTTAATCTAGGTACTGTTATACTTATCCCCCATTTACAAATGGAGAATCCAAGGCACAAAAAGGTTAAATAACCTGCCCAAAGAAATACAGGTATAAGGAGCTGAGCCAGGTTTCACGTCCAGGCAGAATAGCTCCAGAGTTCATGCCATTAAGTATGCCAAAGTGATCTCTCTTCTTCCAGCCTCTGCATCAAATCATAAAGTCCTTAAAGTTTCACAAAGACAGAGACTCTGTTAGATTCACAGCAACATTCCCAAAGCCCAGTATATCAACAAGTGCTCAAAACACTTTTGTTTGTTAAATGAAATATCCCTCAGACTTACCTCCCCTATTTCCAATGCCTCCACTCAAGGCCATTCTTTCACCATTTCATACTTAGGTTTGCCAGCCAATCAGGTAAACTCCTTTACCACATTTTCCATAACCCAACCCCAACCTACGTATTCAAAGCTTTCTTTCCACTGCTTGTCAATTAGAATCACAAAGATCTTAAAGTCAGAAGGTACCTTAGAGATCATCCAGTTCAATATTTTACAAATAAGGAAACTCAAAGAGCTAAGTGGCTAAATAACCACTAAAGTCAGATGGAACTAAGACCAGAACTTGATTCTGGCAATTTTTGCTCAGGGATTTACTCCTAGAGGATTTGGTTCACTTCTAACAGATGTCTCCTCACTGTCCCATCAACAATTATGTTAATTCCCATTATTTATGCCCAAATAGTTTCTCCTACTCAGCCTCTCCTCTTTTTCTTGCTCCACAAATCCAAATCCTGTCCATTCTTCAAAATCTCTTCCTATTCCATTCTTCGTGACTTCCTCCTCTGAAAATCTTATGTCCTGAATTAAGATGCTAGAGGAAGAGGATCACTGTTACCTACTGGGCCCAGTTTACTTTCCACAAAGCAAAGCTACCTGGATGATTTCTTCCCTGAAAACTAAGCACCCATTCTTTCCTCCTGTGTTCCAGGAAGCGGTTTCAATAAAGGCCAACTCATATAGTGCCTCTATAAAATATTCATATACCTGGAAGAGCAGTTTACTCACATCTCTTAATAGTAGACATGTAATGCTTGAGTGACCCCAAATCACTTGTGTCTCCCCCATTAAGAAATAACTCAGCTTGTTCACAAAGTACAAACCTAGAACTCTCTGATACAACTCAACCTAGCAGCCACAGCTCCTTGGGTTCATCTCTGCATCCTACCATTCTATCATTACTTCCTCCAAAACTGCACTACTAAGGAATAGTTCGCACTTCTCTCTCTTCCTCCTCTCTACATTGTACAGTACAGAACAACACCCTTGTCTTTTTTATTATTACTTTCTATATGCCTCTTCAGTGAAAACTTCAGTTCCCTACCTCTCATTCAACCTCAACTATCCAGTCCTTTATATAGAAGCCCCATCTCTCTCTTAAGCCTCTCTTAGGTCTTAGGGTATCTCAAACCCATGAAGGTCAATTCTGTTTTTTCCTTCTCCTACACTCTTCCTTTCTCTAGAAAAGTGGTCACAAAAGTGGTGTGGGTGCAGCTCCGAGAAAATGCAAAAGATTCACTGAGCTGCTGGGAAAAAAATATATTAGAGCTCTTAGTTACTTATTGTTTTCATCTTTCTTAAATCTACTTCTGCATACACTTGTAAGTTACATAACATGTTAGTAATCCAAGTCTATAATATACATAAATGCTAGAGTTTATGTATTACTGTTACTGATAAAAGTTATGATCAAAAGAGTTTGAAGACTATTCTAGAAGTACCTTGGTAATGAGACCAAAGTAATAGGTTCCACACTATATAGAGGAGATACATATATATATCCTATGCGTGTATGCATACATGGTAGGAAGAAAAACTCGTTCACACCCAAAGTCCTAACCGTGCCCACCAACCTCTAACCCCTGCCAGCCGTCTCAGAACTGTGTCCTACTCAAAGAGCAGAATAGAGCATGGTTTGGCAAAACCCTTAATTTCCAGTTGGAAAAACAAAAGCAAAGTGCTGAGGTACTACTCTGATCCTTTATTTCAAGGCATTACTCACTATCTGGACACTGCTCTTCGCCTGACTTAAACACAGACAGTACTTTAAACGCCACTAATCTCCTGCGATTCGGTTCCTATTTCTCAGTCCCTTGAACCACAACTCGTTCCCTTCGCTAACGACAGATGTGCACTAACACCTCCTGGATCGAGCTCACACCTCCCTTCACCCTTCCCTCCCCTGCGGCTGCACCGTCCTACCCCGACCCGCACAGTCCCGTCCCAGGGTAGAAGACAGTCCATTGAAGGTCCCTAAGACCACTTCTTTCCTTCTCCGCCCCCGGGAGCTGCCAGCCAGGCTGGAGACGGAAGGGGGAGGGGTGTGACTCGCCTCCCACGACTGGCCCAGATGGCAGCAGATTCCGCCCCCACTCTCGGGCACCCCTCCACCCCTCGACCCTCCAGAGCTGCCCGTCTGCCGCCCTCCCCGCCCCAGCCCCACCTCCGGCCACCCTCACGCCGGCTCCCGGACACACTCACCGTGCTGGGTGAAGATATTGAAGCCGGCCTCTGCCGTGCGCCCCGCCAGGTCCCGCCTGCGGCCGGAGGGCCTGGCAGCACTGCTGCCCCGGATCCCGCGGGCTTGCGACTGCTGAAGCCCGGCAGCCTCCCCGACGCGGCCCACCTGCTGCCCCATCCCTGCGCTCGCGTACTCCCGCGCCCCCGCGCCCCCCGGTCACATTCTCCTCGGCTCCGGCCTCGGGCTCCCGGCGCGGCTCCGGCCTCTCCTTCCCAGTCCAGGCCCCGGCCCTAAGCGGCCGGGCCGCCGCCGGCTCCGCACGGGGTCTCCTCGCAGCAGCCGCGACGCTGCCTCTAGGCGACTCACAGATTCTCCTTTTCCCTCCGCCTCCCGCGGCTCCGCACCCCCAACGCCGCCGCCGCCACCGCCGCCACCGCCGCCATCTTTAAACCACCGAGCACTGGGCGAGCGTGGGACAGAGCGTCTCCCGCCCCTCACCGACCAGTCACCTCCTCTACTCGGAGGAAGGGCCTCCCGGCGGCCCCGCCCCGCCCGCGCCGCCCCGCCTCCTAGCCGGGTGGGCCCCGGTGTCCCCTCACCGGCTCGCCCTTCGCTGCTTCAGGTTTGTCCGCGCCTCTGTCCTTCGGGGCACCTCGGCCTCCCAAGTAGGAGTCCGCCGCAGCGGACCCCTCCCACGTTCGGCTCAGTTCGCTACCGCCTTGTGGGTGAGCCGGTCTAATGCCTCTCTGCCCCACCTCCACCTGTCAAATCAATCAGTCGAGTCTTGCTCCAGGTGCGCAGCTCATTAGCGGGCACATTTGGGACAGATTAGCACAAGGTATTTGGTGCTTGCCATCCAGGTAAAGATCCCAAATATGCCCAGGAGAATCCTTTAACTACGCTTGACAGCGATAGACCTAGAGCAAAACTAAAATTATAAAAAATTTACATGTAGATAGTGAAAGTACATTATTATTTCACTGTAAGTTTTTTAAATAATTTCATGATGTTAAGCGGCTCTAGCTTCGGTTGTCTGCACTCTACAGCCTCATTGGAAAAGTAGTTGTGTCCCCATTTAATATTAAATTACCATGAATTCCTCTTGAGCTCCTTTACCGTCTAAGCACATGTGTTTCAGTGACCCTTACAATGCTTGACGTATGTCTTCCCACTGGCATGCTTTAATACCATACACGTGGTCAGGTCTTCTTTTGATGACAGAAGAAAAAAGAGAAAAATATCTCTGACCCTGTTTCTGAGTCAGAACTTACTCATCCTTACCTTAAATTGTCTAGAGTGACTCAAGCAGAAGCGTTTCTTGTACAAACACACACAACACTTATGTGTGGGTAAATATTCACCTCCCATCCTCCCAACTCTATATTCTTCTATCTTAACATTGACCCAAATTTTTAAATTCTCAAAGAACTTGGTTATTATCCTCCTGCTATTCTTTCGGATTCTCCCTTTCCTTTATAAAAATTATCAGTTACTGGAAGCACCACACTGAAAATTTGCTTAAAATTAGAGCAGAAAGGATGGGAGCCATTGCAAAGAAGTAATAAAGCAACCACAGGGAAGATAGGTTTAGAGGGAAAAGGTGAATGCACCTCCCCTTTACATGTCTTCAATAGAACCAGGATGGTCTTAGATGACCCACCCACTGACACTGATACTACTATAAGAGCACTATAAAATTATTTCATTGCCCTCCAGGGTGTGGCCAGAAATAACTGAAATTGCCCCAAAATGGGAATGGAAATATTATGCTTCATCACTGGTGGAATATGAATTTTCTATTTGGATCAAAGATTTCCTGTGTTTAAAATACTTTTCTTTCCTTCTCATTCCTGAAGTGCTTGCAACTCCTGAAAAAAAAATCAGTCACAAGGCATAAAGGTGATCATAGAGCTAGAATTTGACTTGTTTTATTTTTATTATCTGAGAGAGTTTTAATTTGGGAGTAATGGTCTCGCTTCACTGCTAATTCATTAATGGTATATAATAGATAAGGATAATATAATACAGTGGTTAAGGACAGGAACTCTGAAGTCAGACTGCTTGAATTCAATACTGGATTCTAATACAGTACTTACTAGCTATTCACTCTCAGGCAAATCCTTAACGTTTCTATGCATCTGTTTGGCATCTGTGAAATGGTGCTAACAATAGTACTTCCCTTATAGAACTGTTGTGAGAATTAAATTGGTTAATATATACAAAACACTTGTAACGGTATTCTGCAAATAATAAGTTTCATACAGGCACTATTAGTACGAAAAAAAGGAATGTTTTCAGATGTCAATCAACTTTTCTGAGCCTAATTTCTTCAAGTGGAATATACTTAGATCACATAACAAATTCTACCATATTTGTTCAGGTGAGCCTCCCTTTACCAACTGCCACCTTGCATTTAACTAAAAACAAAAACACCAACCAATAAAAATATGAAGAATCATGTATCACTTTATTAGTCATTCCTACCACATAATACCTTTGTTTTGCATATGAAGATGCCTCTACCTCTTCTTAAGGTCCTATCTAGACTACAAGTATCCTATAAGGGAAGACTTAGGATATATGCATAATTTTACAGAGAGTTTCCATTCTTTCATTTCAAAGTGAAATAGGAACTTTCAGAATAAGGGGTGGTGACAAACTAGGGATAGTTAATTAGGTGTGGGAAAATGTTTCATTTCAATATAATGAAGCCAAAGGGATTGCCTGAGTCTTGCCAATGGGTTTCAGCCCCAGACAAGTTCACTATGGATTCAGAGAGAACTAAAAATGACACTGGGATGTTCTTAGGTTGAAAAGCTTTATTTATTTTTATTATTATTATGGTATATTTAACATACAATCACATGAGCAACATTGTGGTTACTAGATTCCCCCCATTATCAAGTCCCCACCATATACCCCATTACAGTCACTCTCCATCAGCATAGTAAGATGCTATAGAATCACTACTTGTCTTCTCTGTGTTGTACAGCCCTCCCTGTGCCCCCCCCCATGTTATGTGTGCTAATCGTAATGCCCCTTTTTCCCCCTTATCCCTCCCTTTCCACCCACCCTCCCCAGTCCCTTTCCCTTTGGTAACTGTTAGTCCATTCTTGGGTTCTGTGAGTCTGCTGCTTTTGTTCCTTCAGTTTTTGCTTTGTTCTTATACTCCACAGATGAGTGAAATCATTTGATATTTGTCTTTCTCCACCTGGCTTATTTCACTGAGTGTAATACTCTCTAGCTCCATCCATGTTGGTGCAAATGGTAGGATTTGTTTTCTTCTTATGGATGAATAATATTCCATTGTGTATATATACCATATCTTCTTTATCCATTCCTCTACTGATGGACACTTAGGTTCCTTCCATTTCTTGGCTACTGTAAGTAGTGCTGTGATAAACATAGGGGTGAATATGTCCTTCTCAAACTGGGCTGCTGCATTCGTAGGGTAAATTCCTAGAAGTGGAATTCCTGGATCAAATGGTATTTCTATTTTTAGTTTTTTGAGGAACCTCCACACTGCTTTCCACAATGGTTGAACTAATTTACATTCCCACCAGCAGTGTAAGAGGGTTCCCCTTTCTCCACATCCTTGCCAACATTTGTTGCTCCTAGTCTTTTGGATGTTGGCCATCCTTACTGATGTGAGGTGATACCTCATTGTGGTTTTAATTTGCATTTCTCTGATGGCTAATAATGTGGAGCATCTTTTCATGTGTCTGTTGGCCATCTGAATTTCTTCTTTGGAGAACTGTCTGTTCAGATCTTCTGCCCATTTTTTAATTGGATTATTTGCTTTTTGTTTGTTGAGGCATGTGGGCTCTTTATGTATTTTGGATGTCAACTCTTTATCAGATATGTCATTTATGAATATGTTTTCCCATGCTGTCAGATGCCTTTTTGATCTACTGATGTTGTCCTTTGCTGTACAGAAGCTTTTTAGTTTGATATAGTCCCACTGTTCATTTTTCCTTTTGTTTCCCTAGCCTGAGGATACATGTTCATGAAAAAGTTGCTCATGTTTATATTCAAGAGAGTTTTGCTTATGTTTTCTTCTAAGAGTTTTATGGTTTCATGACTTACATTCAGGTTTTTGATCCATTTTGAGTTTACTTTTGTGTATGGAGTTAGTAATCCAGTTTTATTCTCTTACATGTAGCTGTACAGTTTTGCCAACAGCAGCTGTTGAAGAGGCTGTCATTTCCCCATTGTATATTCATGGCTCCTTAATCATATATTAATTGACCATATATGCTTGGGTTTATATCTGGACTCTCTATTCTGTTCCATTAGTCTATGGATCTGTTCTTGTGCCAGTACCAAATTGTCTTCATTACTATGGCTTTGTAGTAGAGCTTGAAGTCAGGGAGCGTAATTCTCCCCTGCTTTATTCTTCCTTCCCAGGATTGCTTTGGCTATTCAGGGTCTTTTATGGTTCCATATGAATTTTAGAACTATTTGTTACAGTTTGTTGAAGAATGCTGTCAGTATTTTGATAGGGGTTGCATTGAATCTGAGATTGCTTTAGGCAGGATGGCCATTTTGACAATATTAATAAGATCTTCCTACCCAAGAGCATGGGATGAATTTCCATTTATTAGTGTCCTCTTTAATTTCCCTCAAGAGTGTCTTGTAATTTTCAGAGTATAGGTCTTTAACTTCCTTGATTAGGTTTATTCCTAGGTATTTTATTTGGGGTGAAAGGCTTTATACACAGCTTTATTCCCACAGTGGCAGGTCAATCACTAGAATCCCATCCACTCAGAACAAGTCTCCACGCAGCAAACCGGTCTCTGCCTCTGGGCTTCTCTACCCACCGCAGCCATCTCAGTCTCTGTCTTCTGCACTGCCATCACTCCAGTTTCTGCTCTCCTACAGCTGTGCAGCCCTTAGCACTGGGCAGAGCTCTTTATATAGAGTCAGTAACAACGTATTGCCCACAAGTGAGTAGTGAGTGAGCCAAGCAGAGTGAGTTGAAAATCCTGGCCATAGGAACCTTCACTTTCTCCACACCCTGATAATTACATGTAAACATTTAAAACAAAATATTAAAGACAATCCCAAGTAGTACCATCTCAATCTGAATTGAGGGCAGCTGGGGGCTGCAGTCAGGGCAGAAAATAGTTGACAAAAAAGTAGCAGGGATGGCACACAGTAGCAAAGGGATGTCCTGGCACGAGCAATGGCCAGGAGCTGGCATGAAAGAGCAGACACACCAACACAAAACATGCACTCTGAAGACATAGTGTGCCTATGATGAAGAAGCTCATCACCTTTTCCTTCCATTTAAGAGGAGCAATACTACTATTTCCAGAAACTAGGAGCTTATGAGCAGTGCTTCACTGATCCCTGTCTGTACCTGTCTGCATTTCCAGGGTACTGCCTCATTCTTACATTATCTCCCTGGTCTGCTCTCTCTACATTT